AATGTTAAGTGAAGTTAACTTCTATAACTTTTGTTTTGATTGTGCTCTTGTTCAATATATATTCCTTTCCTTGAATAGAGATATATAATGAGGCGTTATTATCTTATTTTTTAACAACTTCTCCCTTGTTTTGCTGCATGAAACCATCTTCAAACACTTGGGGGCGGCAGGTGGACTGGCGCCCAAAGATTATCAGTAATAGAAATCGCTGCGTTAATCATTGATTTCAGGAAGTGCTTAACTATAGCCGTGAGAACAAAACATATTCAACGCGTTATCGTCCACCCAATTTGGGCAAAGTCAACTCTATTTTGAAGAAACAAAAGAAATTCAGCTATAAAGAATAGTGCCAGACTTTGATGGCTAACGAACACTGAACCAACAACTGGGCTGATCAAAGTCAGGGCTCGGCTCACAGCTCATAGATCGAAAAGAAAATAAGCGTGTCAGGTTTTGCGGAGGAACAAAAACCAAAAATAAATTACTAAATATTTTTTAAATAAAATATACATAAATCATAATTAGGCCAGGTGAGTGAGATCACTGGGGATCAAAAACAACGGAACTCTTGAGACGTGTTCGTGCTCATACGGAGCCATCTTATTGTTTAGTTGAAGGGAAAGACGTTACTAATAAAAATAATAAAATTTTGATGCGTTGTAATATTTTCATTTTGAGATGATTTGACCGTTTATTTTTTAATATTTGCTTTGGCTAGTGACGTCATTATAAAAGATACGCAGGACACTGGGTACTCATGTGACATTAAAACAAGACTAGCAGTTTCTTGGCGCCCAGGCCTAGTTTCATGAGTGGGAGTAGTGGAGAGACTGGACAGCTGTTTTTTTTTTTTAAATATATGTAGTTCTTCGGTATAAAGGTAAAGTAGTATTCCAGGCAGCCGACGTTGCGCACTTTACCGCCCATATCTTCATCAGTCAATGCTCTGTTTAAGAAGATTTAAAGCTGAAGCTACAATGCAATAATATCGATCTCCATTTGGTTCGCCTTGATTGAAATTGATTTTCCCCTGTAGCTTGATAGGTGAACGTCGGTATATATTTGATTTCTTCTCGGCATTCAGTTTCTAATAGCCACTAAAATCAGCCAGCGTTCAACACTTATTCTRTTATTGACGTTGACTATGATACTCGCCTTTTACTTTTGGATGATGCGATGAAAATGAACTTCGAAACTTACCATCGGACTTTTACTAATTAGCCGGCAAGAAATGATCAAGTGACTTCAGTCGAAACAAAAGATCAGTGTTGGACATTTGAAAGCGTCTAGTAGGGATGAGTGAGAACAAACTTACCCTCATTTGGACTTTAGATCAAAGCCGCTAAACGAGGTTCTACGTACACTACAATCCCATCTAATGCCACTGAAGGGCACTCACCCTGTAGGACCATTGCTCACAGTATATAGTCAGTAGAGTACTAACTATGGTCAGTAACAAATATTCGGCTCTTTTTCTCTCTGACAGATATTAGGGACCATGGGCGTGCACGTTTTCACTAAACGATTTCCCGTGCGCGCGCCGTCGGCGTTGCTGTGTTCTTTCTAGAACGTTTGCTTGTGCTTAATATATTGACTAGAATAAAATATTTTATAAAATATTTACATTTAGAGCTATACTCATGCAGAGTAATCTAGCTTGCTTCTATGAATAAACTGGAATTGATCTTCCGTCTCTATTCTCTCTCTATTCTCGACCCCGTAGCTACCAGTGATCATTGAGACGATATTCACTGGTCGTAAGAGAAAGTAAAATCACTAAAGTGGAAGTAATAATAAAATGTTGTTTTTTTACCTGAAGTTCGTCTTTTCTTTGATATCTAAGTCTAAAATTATATAACGGTTATTCACCTCAGGCTCAGCGAATATTTGCTGATAATCTCTATACCTTTGATGATAAATCAGTTAAGTAATTAATAAAAATAATTATTTTTTTAAATTGGCACACGGCATTTTACTGCCTTCTGATAGGTTGCTAATCATATGCATGAACAAATTAGAGGCTTGCTGACGCACGAACCCTCGTAAAACCAAGTAGTGTTTTCTTTACTTTTCTTTTCCTTTTCCGAGTGCTCCCTCTTCCGAAGACAAAATTAGTTATAAAAGACAATGGCCCCGTTGCATTACAAAATAAATAAAAACCTCATTATTGGAATAGACCGGCCTTTGCCAAAATGGCCCGCCGCCAAATAAGTTAAAATCAAACGCTTTGAAAAACCTATACACCAGAACTAGAAAGAACACTTCTTTTCTAGCAACACTAAGGTCCATGTTTTTGACGAGAATAAGAAGCAGAAACAAGTCGTTCCAGCTGTTCTTGGATCTTGGAATGATCTAACTCCTATTGCTTTTTGTCTATATACTATTGCCTATCGCCTTCAACGATGACAACGTTTATTAAAACAGGTGTATTCATGATTGCATGACCTGCGAGCTAGAAAAGCGTATTCGTATATTAGCCAAAAATCATTAAAGCTAAAAAAAATCCGTTCAGTCTTAGATCACCCATTTCAGATATCGGAAAGACAAAATTTATGAATTAGTATAGTTGTATACCTTCTATGTTTATTTATTTATTTCAATTCAGATATATGTTCTGAATTCTTTCTTTGAAATCTGAAATTAAGTAAGAAAAGGCGATTACATTTCCCCAACAAATCTCATTAAAACGCGCAGGGGGGGTTTCCATTTAAAATCGTATCTATTATATTTTGCATATATATCTTTTGTGTTATGTCAATTTATGGTTATATAGAAAAACTAAAAGATTGAAACCTCGTCTAAGCTTAGTTTCCGACCACTCTCAGTTTCTAGAGCAGTGGCCTATATAATTATTTGGAGACCAAATACAAATCTTGATTTTTCAACACCACTCGATCGAAAACCGGCTGCCGCGACGTTGCGTTCGAGCTCCGTCGACGAGGCCTCAATTGTTTACACTTGAATTCAACAGTGTTATTAATATTCGACTATTCTTAAAACAACACGAATGTTTATATAAACGTAGCTTAGTTTTTATTCATATCACAGGCAAAAATTTTGCTTTCACAGTGGGGCGTTATGAGCAATAACAACTGGGATCGATACAAGGAATATTGGAAAACAATTGACTTAAATTTTCCATATAAATACAACAGTAGTTTCAATGTAACAAATCATTTTGACTCCTCAGTATTAAAGTGATATTAACGGATAGATCTTGAATTTTCAAGTTTTCCAATAGTGGTTATGAGGAGTTTCAGTGATCACAGCAAAAAGGGGCAATAACAGTCTGAATTAATATCACAAGGAAGCCTTCATAAGATCACACTTGGTCTAGCAATCCGTGATTATCCTAAACTTTATTCTCTGACAACCAGTATCAGTTTATTCTAAAACCGCCCTTCTTTAAAAAAAAAAGGAAAAAAAAGAAAAGAAAAAAGAAGAAGAAGAAAAAAAAAATAAATAAATAAATAAATAAATAAAATTTAAAAAATTGAAAATAAATAAAATGGTTCGAAAAATAAAAGAAAGAAAAAATTGCCCCTCGAACAAGTTGTATCTTTTTAAGCAAGACGCAAAAAGGGATTTCTGGTTTACAAATTAATGATATAAAGAAAAACGATAAAACATACGTAAGGCTGTTGGCCCTGATTCAATGTTAATCCGTAATGAGTTATCTAGAGATGATTGTATTGAACTTGACGTTCAAGTGGTGTGATACCAACCTTAATCCGTAGAACAGGTGCTTTGACGGCTTCGATTTAGCTTAGAAGAACAAAAGTTTCACTGCGGCGCGATTATCAACCTTTGTTTTGATCGAGTCGACGCATAATGCTTCAAAGACACCTGCGTGCAAAAGACTAAGTAGTTTAAAAATTACTATATATAACATAAGCCGCCCATAATGCTTCACGGGGCTGAATCTGACTTTATTCAATTCAAGTACAATGGTAGCAGTTCCGCGGATGTTTGATTTTGAGATGACTGTCTACTTTTGGGGAAAAAATAAGCTTTTTTAAAGTACATAAAGTACATGTTGTAGTTGAGGCTCTTGTCGTTGACCAGGAGGTTCATGTTCACGAGATCTAGATGCTTGAAGGCAGCTATGGTATCTTTATAACTGTATTCTATTCGATGGGACAGCACTATTGTCCAGGCCGAACCAGGTTCAGAACTCAGGTCACAAAACGCGTTTTTTTTTACCCCGTTTGTGTCATAATGGTTCTCAAAATTATCCGACTTTAACTAGGAAATTTCTGGAGGCGCATATGGAAAACCTTTACAGAATATATTTGAGTTGAGACCGATTGATTAAAAAAAAAATAGTTTTTTGACTATCGAAAAAAAATTTACTTTAAAAAAATTTTTAAATTAATTTCAACTGTTATAACGGTTTAAATGGTTAAGGGCACAGAATACGTGCTCTATATTTGCGAGACCAACGCGCGCTTGTGGTTTGTTTTTGAGACATGCATGCGTGTACAAAATCAATAATTGTTCGAGAAAAAAAAAATTCTTAAAATTTTAAATGCGAGCCAGACTTAAGGGGAAGCTGTAAACGGTACAGGCGAGTAGTTATCACGAATAGTCAGGTAGCTTAGTGCAACTGATTTGGGCTTGATCGTGAAAAATGTGATCATAAAATGCACATGTACCTATTGGCCTTTGCGGGGAACTGGTATGCAGGATTCCCAATAAGCCTGAAGCGAGATGACGTTTTACCCCCGTCTCTAGACCATAATCCTTTTCACATTGCTTTTGTTCTTTAATGATGACTATTGTTCCTGTATTCTCTAAGAAAACAAAAATTTGAATATGAAAGAATTTTAAAAACCATTATGGTATAGAGTCGGGGGTAAAACGTCATCTCGCTACAGGCTTATTCATGACAATGTTATCAAGTGCGCGTTAGGACCCAATCAAGTGATACAACTCATTGAATTAAAATGTCTCAGTACGCATGCTTTTTTCCGTTAACTGCTGCAATTCGAGGATCAGTCTGTTTAGGCTAGTTTTAATTAAAATGTTTCACTACGCATGCTCTTTTACTTATTAACCGCTGCAATGGTAGCTGTAACATAGGTGATTTCAATAATATTCTTTAATAAGATGTGGTGTATTCCTATGTACCTAGTGAGTGTATTTAAACTCTCTGATCTTATTATGCTTTCGCGATTCATCGTGAGCCTTCTGTCGACTCAATGTGTCTTATAAAGGAGAAGAAATAATGACATCAATTTTGAGTTTTACGTCGGGTYGAATTTACGAGTAAATATAACTCGAGCTTGCAATTAGTTTGTAAAAACGCGTCCCACATGGAAAAGAGTGGCAATGTGGGGTAAGAGATCAGTGATACTATTGCTACATCGGGTTTGCTGGTCATAGCAAGGGGTTAATCATCTATGGTCTAGAGGCCGACTAACCTTTCCCTTAGGCTTCGGCCGAGCTTCCTGACCAGTCTCTGTAATTCCTCCCGGGATAGCGGTGTTGGGGTCGAAATCTCCAGCGTAACCGTAAGTCCATACGACGGTTCAGCACTGGATGTCTGGAAGTATGGTCCCAGTTAATTTTAAACAATTAATACTAAGAAAGTTTTTTCCCTCACATAAATTAGTTAYCCTAGTGGATGGATCGCTAAATGGAATCATCTTAAAAAAGACACGACAAACAGGCCTAAGCACGCATGCGCTTCGTACGTCTTTATACGTCGACTTAATAATCAGTCATACTGGTTCGATCAGATTTTCATACCAGATTTAGGACAGGAAGATCTTTTGCAGAATGTTTGGTACTACATTTTAGCTTCTTTGGCGCCATTCAACGTATTTGCGCACCTTCAGAGATTTTGTTTTGTCAGTATTAGTCATTCACTTCTGACGAATTCAGGAATCGAAATAGAGAGGGAACCTTAGAGTCACCTATGGTATGCCCCACCCTTGATTCAGTTCCAAATATCCCATTTAAGTGTTATTTAGTTCCCTTTTTGAACGGGTTCCGGAACATTTGTTTGGCTTTCGTATCAGATGGTTTGCAATCATTCCAGTACCAAGACAAAAACGTGGCAACCATGCTGGTGGTATTGAGCAAGATAAGGTAATTTGAAATACCAATACCACCAACATGGCTACCATGACGTAACTTCCAATCTAAGAATATAAACGTATTGAGTCATTGTCATGTTAAAGCATGTTTGCACATTTTGATTAGCTGAGATCAGAAGCCATTTCAATGCCAAGGTACCGTATATTTCCAGCTTTACAGATTGAGTGTGTCTATCATGCATTCCGAAGAATGTCTCTAGCTCTTTTATTGGCTACGTTGATTCGTTCGTCGTTAGATTCAGCCTACGAGAAAAGAAAAATAAATGAACATACAGAAGGTGATTGTATGGACTAACAAGCAGAAGTTTTCGTGAAAGCTGAAACTAAACGACCATACGAGAATCATGCTACGGTACATATTGATGGCAATGTGTGTTTGAGTTCACGGACTCAAAACTTTTTTTTAAGGGAAGCACGGGTGGCGTAGCGGTGTGAGCGCTCGCCTCTCATCAATGCGACACGAGTTCGAGTACCGCCGGGCTCGGTGTTGTATACGAGTAGAGTTGTTTGTTGGTTCTCTCCTGTGCTTCGAGGGATTTCCGGGCTCTCCGGTTTTCCTCCGTCAGCAAAAATCAACTCCTAAATTCCAATTCGATCACGGAATGAGGGCCACAGGTTTGTTAGCCACTGGCTATTAAGTGCTACCCTCGTGAAAAAAAGGACTTTTTTATTTTTTTTATTTTTCAAAACGCAAAAATGAATATCGAAAGAAAAAAAGAAAACATTTAAAAGTATTTACTTTTTGTCGTATCAGTTAAACAAAAACAATTTCCCTTCACATAAGGCAGCATTTTTTAATTTTTACTAGTAAATCAGAATGATAAGATAAACTATCACATACCTTTGCATTGATGCGGTCAATTTGCCTATTTTGGGTCTCTAGTTCATTCCCCATGTCAACTGCCATGGACTTAAGGTTTCCGATGATGTTGGATACTTGGCTATAGATGATTAAGAAACATTGATTACAGGAATTGAATGGCTATAGAATATCAAAGTGGAGGCTAGGGTTGAAAAGGTAAGAACAAGACAATGCACAAGTCTCCTCTTCTGATTCCTATGAATGAAGATGTCATCTGTAAATATTCATTTAACTTACTTTGAACTCATATATATTTTTCTTTTATCATAAAAGCTCTAAAGTTTCTTACCCTAAATTTTCATCCATCTCATCTTCCCTGTCATCATTTGTTATTCTAAAATAATTGAAAACATTTATATTGACATTAATCAAATTAATAGCGTGTTTTGTCACTAATTAGAATTTTCCTAGAATGGCAAATTGGGAAATTTGACAAGTAAATAACATTAAATGAAAGAATGCATAAATGCACGAAAGAATCACTGGATGGATGGATGGATGGATGGATGGATGGATGGATGGATGGATGGATGGATGGATGGATGGATGGATGGATGGACGGATGGTATTGTACCTCTGGATATATCCAGATGAAGGTGCAGATGAACCCTTACTGCCTGACGTAGTAGGTCCTACAAAGAGCAAACATTTTAGATTTAATGTTAGCATTTTTTACTCCTTTATTGTTAACATGCTAAGATCAGGGCTTTTAAGTTTTAATACACTGAAATCACTAAGATGTCAAACAAAAGCAGCAGAAATAAACCTAAAACTTTCGAGAGTATTGCCATTTCTATTCTTTTTGTAGTCTTTGCTTCATGCCATATTGGAATTATTGTTAACATACAAAGATCGGGGCTTTTAAGTTTTGATACACTGCAATCACTAGAAATGTCAAACAAAAGCAGCAGAAATAAACCTAAAACTTTCAGGAGTATTTTTTTTTAGTAGTTTTTGCTTCATGCCATATTGTAATTATAGCTGATCAAACCTGGTTGAGTAGAGACAACACCATCTTCACTATAACTTTGCTTGTATGCTTTCTTGTAAGCAGAACTTTTTTCATAATTTTTGCCCCTAAGAAATATTTGACATAAAGTTTGTTTAGTAAAAAATATAAATCTATAAGGAATGGCTATTATTCTTCATTTGCACATGATGTCATAGCCACCAACTTGGTAGACTGCAGTGTTGGCAGTCTGTTTTTTTTGGGGGGGGGGCCCTCTACTACCAATACTGTTTCTGTCGATAGAGTACATCTACATGTAGTAGTCAGTCTATATGTCAAATGAAATATATTTAAGTTTTTTTTTTACATTGTGACTACATTAACCTAGGCTATCCAGACAAATTAAAAATCAAATTCACAAAACAGGTTTTTGGTTTTTGATACTGAATACCAGGATGGTGACCAATTCTGGAGTTTAAACTGTTTCTTGCTCACTCCTGATCATACACACACTCTTATAAAATAAAATATATGCTTTTAAAGGAAAATGTAAAAATTTGTGCAGATATAATTGTTTAAATACTCAATTGTGATTGGCTAATTTGTATGAATATTTGTTTTTGTGTCTTGGTTGGAATAGTTGCATGTAAAAGAATTTTCCTAACTAACAGCTGATGTTAACTGGCCTACTCCAAGGACAGACACAATGCCTGCTGACAGCATAAGGTAAGGTTTTAAAGTACTACAAAGCCATGCCCACTTTATAATTGCCCTACCCATTTTCATTGATAAATTACAAACATTACAAGACAGTGTACATGTAGTCTTTAGAATGTGACATTTTGGCTTCATCTTGACCACATAAGTAAACTTGGGCCTATTTCATGATTAGGTGATTATTGTAGTATATCAAAAGCCAAACAATGTAAGGATTTATTATGAAGTTATTATTAATAGTCAAACTAAGAAATCCCTGAACACCTAAAAAATGCCTGGAATGGAAAGTACCATGTTCTGACCAATCACATGCAACAGTTAATTATTAACTTCTTACTGTCACGTGATTGGTCAAAACACAATGTTTAACATTCCAGACATATTTTAGGTGTTCATGGTTTTCTTAGTTTGACTGCAAATGTGAAAAGCTGATGTCAACTGACCTATTCCAAGGACAAACACAGAGACCACAGCATTTTTCCATGCCAGTAAGATTCCTTTCTGCTTCTTTCATATCAGCATTAATTTGATCAAGCCCTTCTTCAACTCTCTCCAGCTGTTCRCCTTGTTCATCTAACTTAACTAATGTCTTGATACCAATATCTTGTGTCTAAGTACATAGTTATATAACAAGTCAAACAACAAGTGCAGTAAATCTCAAAGCTAATATGAACATTGGTTTCCTGCTTCAGAGCACATGCCATCCCCTTGAGTAATATTAATTTGTTTACTTACAATCAATAAGTCATTAAGGTCATTTATTTTGGATTCTTCATTTTGGCATCATTCAATTTGAACATTCACGATTGAGAACAAAGTCTTCAATATTCAAAAGAAGAATAGTTTGAAAATTTGATTGTTGATTGGGTTACTGCCATTTTCATAAGCATGCAATATTGGTAGCTGTGAGCACGCTCAAATTTGTTTTCTTTGCTGCCATTGTTATCAAAACTAATCAGTCTGTACCTTTCATATTTTTGACTGGTGGCAGTGAAAAGTAAATAAGGTATATATATCTACTGCAGCTAAATGAAGATATAGAACTATAGATAAGTTATAGTGCTTGGGAACGAGGTTATTTCGGGCGAAAGACCCTTGGAATTTTAATTTAAAAATTCAGAAAAATTAATTTCCTACTGCAGCTAAATTTATGTTAACATTTCCTACATTTAGTCTTTTGAAGTTAAAAATTTGCTTTCAATTCCTAGCTCCACTGTGGCTTAAATGCTACCTGCAATGGGTTAGTAAGACTTTAGTTTTTAGAGCAGTCTAAAATATTAATGCCTACCTCTTCAGACATTTGCAGCATGCGACGGGTACTTTCCAGCGACTGTTGAAATGAAACATTCAAAAACATTTTTCTTAATATATACATGTACAATTTGCTCACTGGAAAAAGTTACTAATCACAGGATTGCCAATTATTGAAATAGAAATGATAATAAAAAAACAACTTTGTTGATAGAGGATGACACTTGATAGGAATTTAACTGAAACATTTTTGGTTCTCTTTTAACATCTATAGTTGCATGATTAGGGATGGAACTGTCATTAACATGGTCATCCAAGTTACATAAAGGTCTAAACATTTGCAGATGTAATTACAAAGGAAGCACCTTCTCCTCAGTTATTTTAAGACCCTGAACGTTGGTCCAGCTGGGACTCGAACCACAGCCTACCACAACCTCCAGCACAGCAGACTGACGCTCTTACCAACTGAGCTAACTGGGTGAGGGTCAGCATTCTGATAAGCACTGAATGTTCAATGATAAGCAGTACAACATCGAGGTATGCAAAATGCAACCAAACATTATATTGTGCATGTTTCAATGGCTTTTATCCCTACCTGGTCTGTAACTTGATCGCCTTTCATCTGCATCCTCTCTATCTCACCCCTCATTCTATCTTCATTCGACATGATGGAGTCCCTAATATCTCTTTCTTATATTTCTAAAAAAAAATAATTTAATAATCAGTAAAATAATCAGTATAATAGTTATATCAGTATAGCAGCTTTGCACCAGCAAGTGATGGCAGCCATGTTAGATGACAGTCAATTCCTGAGAGCAAAGGGATTTTATTGTTCTGCCATCTAACTACAGCCAGCCCAAGCTGTATTATGGGCATGGGCAAGTGATGGTGCAAAACCTCATTTCCATCTCTGTTGAAACCACAAGATGATTATCAGTAAATAAAAAATCAATAGAGATGTTTTATGTTTACAAATATACACTTGCTGAATGTACAATGAACAAGAAATGTCTCATACCGAACTGAGCTTGGCCTAGTTTAGTACTGGAAATTTCTCAATCATTGTACAGTCAGAGTCTGTATATATGTATAAACAAAACACTCCTCACATTAGGCATAACTAAAAACCTAATTAAGTGTACCTGGTAGTTTTAATCTGTTCATCAGAATTTTTTTTGGTGCCAGTCCAAATGTATAACTAGGTACCAACTGGTTGTTTTAGATCGATCGCAGCAAAAACAAAAACATAAGCATTTCTGCTGGCAGCTTGTGACTACTGGATTGAAAATTGCTATAGTTTTCTCTTCTTAAATAGGAGTATTCAAAATTGGACAGGCATCTTCTTTTTCAAGATATACTTGTCTTTCAGTATCCTTTATTACTCTCATTTTTGACTCAAAACATATATGTATCCAGTATCCCTATTCTCCAAGGAATATGAAAATATACATATGTAGTAAAAAAACTCTTTAAAAACTGACTAATTGTTTTATAATAATGGTTATTTTGATACTGCATTAACTATTCATCACAACAAATAGATATAACACAGAAATCGAAATTAGTAAGATATAAAGCACTTGTGTCTGACATTTATGACATACATCAGCCACCACAATCATACTGAACAGTTCACAGAACTAATTGGTCCATGAAGATGCTAGTTTGTATTTTCAAACAATAAAATTATTAGGAAAGATTCTATACTCTCTGTAGAGTAATAATTGTTAAACACAACAGTGCTATGATTTTATTTAGTGGCAAAATATTCATCGGAAACCAAGAGGGGAAATATAATGATAATGAACACTATTATGAACCTGGTTTATGACGGCTATGACGGCCACATCAGATAAAACAGAACATTGTTTCTTCAAAATATTCACGTATAATAGGTAGAAGGTCTTCAGATCAATATAAAAAGCTACTTACATGATTTTTTGGTCAAAAAGAAAATGAAGGAACCCGCGCCAAACACCAAAATATCCACCAACTGCGCCTGCGATGGTACAGCCGATGACTTTGTTAGTGACGTCAACCAAGGAATGACGTCAAACTAACGATGACTCACCACAAGAGTCTAAAGCACTCTTTTGGGACTACTCTCTTTCTCCCTCCTCTATCTTGCCTTTCTGTCTCTCTCTTTCTCAGCTTCTCTGATTAATAATGCTCCTTAGTCTCAACACACTCTAAACAGGATTATCTCAGATTGGTGTCAGTTCTGCGTATAGAAGGAAGCCGAGGAGAAGGATAGGGGCGAGGGTAGGGAGCCGAAGGAACTAGCCGGTGTCTTTAAACTGGTGTTTCTATCCCTCTGAAATCTTTTTTGATATCCCGTGCGTGTGTAGCTATTTTTTTAGCTCAAATATAAAATTTTCAAATGCAGTCCATTCACAGTTTCATTGATTAATACTGATACGCCTCTTGCACGGTTTTGAAAAGAGCAAACAGATACATGCGATAGTAACCGTTCCCCTCGATATGTGGGTGTGCGTTAAATTTTAGCCCTTATGCAAAAACCACTCTTGTAAGTCACTAATTATATAATTATGTCAATTAGTTATTTGCAGGTTGAAGAAAACAGCTGGTATCTCTATGAGTTACAGTCACTATCCCGGGCAAGAAGAAAGCCCGCCGGGTTTACCTGGCCTCGAAAGGGTCAGTTATTCTGAGGGCATTGAATTAAAAACGCGGTTTGAAAATGCCACTTCTAAAGACACAGCCAGCTTGTACCTTTTATATTAAACTGAGTAATGAACAAATTATAAAGGCTGATCGAAACTTGAATGAATCAGACATAACATCCGCTAGGCCCCGGTTCAGGAAGAAATACAAATATTTTCTTTTTGTGTTTTAGATTTCCATTTTAATTTCGTCGCTAAATTACTAGCATTAGTTTTGATATATCCAGTACGGCAAATTATTTAACCATCCGATATGTTAGCAGTGTCGTATCGATTTTTCCCCCCGTTTCCTTTTCAACCAAAGAAAAAGCTTAAGGTCTGATGTCTGAGGTCTGAGGAGGCAAATTCGACCTTTTCTTTCATCAGTAAAGCTAAATCTTGGAAAAGTATAAAGGAAAGTTTACTTGCCGGGTACCTTTGATAAAAAATTAAACTTTATTCAGTAAAATATGGAAAAGTTATACTGTACTTTTTCAATGGCGCTGATGAGGAATTTCGATCGATTTTCAACCATTACAAAGACGCGTTATGACAAAACTTGAAAATTTTAAAGCAAATAACAAAACGACTGTAATTGATGCCTGAGATAAAATCTTGTTTCCTTTATAGTACTAATTACAGTTCCGCATAGATTATCCAATTTTCTTTCTTTCCCATGTGGACTCACTTCATAGGAACTTCAGTCATTCCCTGAGCAAAGTATGACCTCTATATCATCTAAACTAACCGGTGAACCTCTTGTCGCTCGGCTGTTCAAGAATTGTTCCCATTTTCTGTCAGCTTCTTCTCCAAGGAAACAACGAAACAAGAACTCACTTTGTTGTTTTGTTATGACATTCGAACCAGTACTACACAACATGGCGAACTCCCATCGAATGTCATTCATGAGGAAACTTCTCCGATCCATTTCTTTAAGCACATCAAGGACTTCGTCTTCCAGACACAAGTCACAGAAACACACAGTTCGTATAGAAGCTTGTGTTTGTTGCAAACTTATTAGGTTGAGTGGTCGCAACTCTTGATAAACTCGCTGTAAAAGCTCTGCATTAATGCCTTGGTAGTATTCTGGGAACTTTTTAAGATAGTTTGCCACACGTTTTGAGGCATTTTCCATGTCCGAATCAATCGAGGTGTTTTGAAAGGGATTATTGCAATGAAAGTGTCATTGGTTTTGTTGCCAACCCAAAAACAAACAGAAATGAAAAGCACCTGCATAAAATTGTGACGTTTTTACAATTACCGAAAAAGACTATGTTAATAATACAACTAAGAACAAAATAGGTCAGACTGAAAGAAAGCTATACCAGGATGAACAAACTGGAAAAAAAAAAAAGAAAAAAAGAAAAACTGAGAATGGTACATTAAGATATTTTCCCTCACACACTAAAAATAACGGTTTACGTAGATAAAAAGACCAATTACTAAGTGTGGTATCTATTCAAATTTTTCAACGAGTATTTTCAGTTCTGTTAAAAGTGCATAAATCATGATTAATGGTCAAACTTCCAAAATAATCGGGGTATCAAGGAAACGTTGTCATGGTTTGGTAGCAGTAAATTAACAGCTGGTGTGATGTGTTTCTATGGTAACCGATTCATTTCCGCAACAACACGTCGCATATGTCAAACATTGAGTAAAATGATTTTCTGTCGTAACCAGGTCCCTCCTGGTCGTAAGAATTTCTCATGGATATCTTGTATAACGTATATTCATTATAAATTGTAGTAGAATGGTTTGCATAAACCCGTGAAATACACACTGGCCTGATAAAAATTAGTAGACCTTAATTCCATTGTGTTATTGTTTCACTATTTAATACACACTAACCGCTGTTATCTGTTTCACTGGTTTATGGAAACTACTCTAAAAAATCTACTCGCGAAAAACAACGTACAAAACAAAAACAAAATAAAAAACACACTCGCACAAAAAGAAAAAGAAAGAAAAAGAAAAACAAACAAACAAAAAACAAAAACGAAAAAAACGAAAAAAAAAAA